CTCCGTTTTTATTGTCTTGGGCTAATTAGAAATAGGCAGAGACAGGAAATACATAAATGATGCATTTGTACCAAGTAAAAGTCACGTGCTATTACAGGGTGCTGGATTTTACAGTAACTAGAAAGGAGAAGGTGGTGGGAAAGAAAGTGAGGAGCGCTGAGGAGGGACGCCTTACTGCAAAGAGCCTGTCCCAGGTGGACAGCAAGCACTCTGCCTGTTTTAAGCAGGGCTTTGGTTCCAGTAAAACAACATCATCCGTCAGGTTAATGTTGTTCATTTGAATGATTCTGTTTGTTTTGGTCTTGTAGTTGTATACCTAGTTTTATATTTATGCATATTTTAGTAACATTGTATTTTAATAGGTTAAGTCAACACTAGCCTGGAATTATTTTAAAATAAAAAGGTAAAACAAGTTAAAACGTTTTGTTAAAAATTTCAACATCAGAGGCCTCGGTGAATTTCCTCCTCTGAGAAGGGGCCCAGACACGTCCCAGGATTGAGAATATGCTTATGCTCTGAACCAGTGCCCCCGAGTCCTCCTGAGGGAAATGGTGCTGCCTCGTTGTGGCAGATGCACCATTTGCCACCTAAACTGCCGTGGAGAAGAAGGAAGTGGAAGAGAAAGGAACCTCAAATACCACATTTCAAAGCCCCTTTGAGTTATTTTTTGTCTCTGCAATTGGACGTAAAATGACACTGTGGTATCGTTTCCATTTTTCATGGCTTTGTGGTCCTGAATGCAGTATTAACTGACATGCCACCTCCCCAGGGATTCAGATGGCCAGAAAATTGGCTCCAACTGAAAAGAGCGGGGCTGAGGGGTCGGGGAGGGAAAAGGAGATCCTCTTGTTTCTCTGCTCATTTAGCAATTTATTGCCTTCAGAACTGCCCAGCAGTGAGTCAAATGGGCAAAGTTGATGGACCCTTTTTCCTCCCTAGTCCTTCTGTTTCCTTTAGGACAATTTTGGTTTAATTTGGTTTTTAAGTGCCATGAATGCTCCTTTTAAGTGATGAGTACTGCTCAGAACTCAGGAAATGCAAAAGTCAGAGTTTTACTATTCAAAATAAATATTAACTGAATGCCATGACCTAGGACTGGCCTGCAACAAAATTACAGAGCTTTCACCAGAAAGTTGTCTTTGAGATTTCTGGCCTTCTTTTTTGGATTTTTTTCTTCTTTCATAAGGAATGCATATGTGTTAACTGCTTCCTGCACACTGTACCCCATCCAAATTCTGAACTAGACTTGATCTTATTTTCCAAACGCCAAACCACACCTTGTCTGATTTAATCAGCACCCCTGCAGGCTACATGGTACTGTTCCCATTTTGCAAGTGATAGAACTGAGGCTTAGAAAGTTAAGGGCCTTGCCCAAGCCTAGGTCTCCTCATCTCAGACCACAGCTACTTACTGCTCTAACACCCTTTCCTTACTCTTCTGTGTAAAAATATTGTCGTGTATAATGTCAGCTTCTCTTACACATTTATGTTCTACTGCAATTTGCTCAAAGTTAGTGACTGAAGGCCTGGCTCCTGTATTAGTTTCCTAGGACTGCCGTAACAAACTACCACCAACTCGGTGGCTTAAATAACAGGAACTTATTCTCTTACAGGTCTAGAGGCTAGAAGTCCAAAATCAAGGTGTCAGCAGGGCTGTGCTCTCTCTGACGGCTGTATGGGTACACTCTCCCTTCTCCTTCCCCTCTCTGGTTGTTCCTGGCAATCCTTGGCGAGTCCTGACTTGTAGATACCTCACTACAGCCTCTGTCATCACCTGCCTTCTCTATGTGTCTCTGAGTCACTGTATTCTCTCCTGATAAGGACACTAGTCCCTGGACAATGGCCCAACTTAACCCAGGATGACTTCATTTAACAAATCGCATCTATAAAACACTGACTTCCAAATAAGGTCACATTCTGAGGCCCCCCTCCATGAATTTGGGGGGATCACTGTTCATCCGAGTACAGCCTCTACTAAGAATGTTCTGGCATCTATGAACAATTGGGAAGTTTCTCTAGTTACAGAGGGGCCTCCCTAGTGTCCTTATCAAATATCCCTGAAGAGAGCATTAACCAATTCATTCATTCACTCAACAAAGACTTACTGATCATCTACTACGTGACCTGCACTTTTGCAAGCACCAGAGATGCCGCTGTGGAATGACGAAGTTCACATTTCATGCTACTTATACTAGGCAGGGAGACCCCCGTGCCAGTGTGGTCTGGAAGTATGGCAGCACAGGGTGGGCACCGCAGGGCTTCCTCACAGGCTCCAGAACTCACTCGTCATCACTTCTACCACATGCTCCTAGTCAGAGCAAGTCACAGCCAGCTGGAGTCAAGGGGCTGGAGCAATGGACTCTACTTCTTGATGGGCAGAGTGACAGTGTAGGGTTGCAGAGGGGAATGGCCATTAGGAGGGCACTAGCGACTCCTTTGGGATTTTCCACAGTTACTGGTAAAGCTAAAGTAGCCAAGACACTCTTGTTATTTGCACATGGAACTGTCAAAGCATTAGCACTGTGTCTTGGTTTGCTTCCTTCCCTTGAGTGTGGACATTTCCAGTGGTGATAACATCGAGTTCAAAGAATTGCTGGGAAGATTAAAGACAATGTATTTCAATAAACTATGAAGGTGCCTTACACAGAGTAGCTCCCTCTACTGTCTGCTGCTGTTTCACACCATCTGATCATCAACATAAAAATCGTTGCCCTGGGGACTATGACAGCAGACAGACACAAAGCCCTTAAAGTAGGGTGTAGTGACTTCTCCCCAGTGGCCACCAGGATATCCCTCAGCTCCCCAGTAAACTCATCAGTGTTCCTAATTTAGGCCCACCCCAGTTGCCCTGTGCACATTCTAAAATGAACTGAACAGACTGTGGTTCAGAGTTGGAAACGCAGGTCTGGCTCTTTGGGTCCCACCCAAGCCTTGGCTCTACCAACGTGGCTGTCCAGGTGGTGGTGTGTCACTGATCCCTCTGCATTCTCAGGACTCAGGGCCACCCACAGTCAGGCCCGGAGCGGTGGTGGCCACACAAGGCCACCCACAGTCTGGCTCGGAGGCGGTGGTGGCCCTGTGGCTCTGAATCCCTGTGAAGCAAGCGGTCGCCCAATTTGAGAAGACCAAGCCTGAAGTACCCAGGGGAACTGCGCTGTAAAGGACACTCAGTGGGAGGGAGTTCAGAGGAGGGAGCCACTTTGCCACTTGTGTGGCAGGGCCTTCATGGATTGGTTTGTACCAGCAACAGTGGAAAGGGAAGGATCCCAAATGGGAATGGCTGGCACGAAAGGAAAAGAGTGAATAATTGCTTTCTCGGGAGCTCCCTCAGTTCTGAAGAGGGGAGGAGTGGGAAAGAGGCTGGAAAAGTCATTGGTGCTGGACTGTTAGGAACTCAGAAGATGAGCGTATGGATGGGGACTCCATTCCTGGGGCAGGGAGCAGCCCCAGAGTGTCTATTCCATAGCCCTGGTGCCTCAGTTTCTCTAAAACTTAATTATTAATCATAATTAATATTAATATATTTTATATTTAAAAGAAGAGCCACTTTGCATATTCAGGAAGGTAGATGGAGGCATAGCATTAAGCCAAACAACCATAAGGCATCTCCACTCTGTAAAATCTCTGAGTCTCTGGGATTAGAGACCAAGACAGTGGCACATCAGGGCAGCATGGTCTGTGGTCTCCTATTCTAGGTAAACTGTGAGAACTAGTTCAGGTTGCAAGTGAATGGCTTTGGGGGAGAAACTTTTGCTTCTAGAATTTAGAGAAGCACACACATCTTCCCCTGGGCCCCTACTGAGACTGCCAGCATTCTGGCCTGGTACCTCCAGGGCTGAGCCCTTCAGGAAATGGCTGTATCTCCCACGGATGCTGAGCATAGTGCCCTGTACATTGTGAGGTCTGAACACATGCTTGAATGGACGGGTCAATGGAAGAACATGGCAGAGAGGAAAAGCTCAAAGGTAATAAATACTCATATATTGTGGTTCCAAATACTATAATCCAGACTCAAACTGCATTATGCACCAAAGCAAACATACTGACTAATGCAACGACAGTCCAGGAGTTGGGGTCTGGTTCCAACAACACACAGACCTAGGTATTCATATGTCACTGGGAATGCACTCCCTTGTCTTTCAGCTCATCTCTCCTCTGCTCTCTTCATTCTCAGTCTAGTTCTCCCTGCATAGTGGCCCTCCTCCCTGTCTCCAAGCTCCAGGCTGCCATTCTCACAGCTCAGCCATCTGGAGAGGAAAAGGAGTTGAGAATGAAAGAAAATGGGTTCCCAGAAGGATACTGAGGCACTGGCACTGAGGAAGCAAAAAGCAACAGATGTCCACAATGATGGCTTGTAGCAAAACTGGATCCCCTTGCTTTGAAATAGATCAGTTAAATGCCAAAACTCCATGCTTTCTCCCTGCTGCAATCAAGGTGGGAGTACTAGACATCAGATTAGAGTGGGAAGTGGGCAGCTTTGGTTACCAGGAAGAACTGAGTTTGAAACTGACTCTGTCTCTTCCTGTGTGATCTAAAGCTAGTAATTTAACTTCTCTGAGCCTAAGTGCCCCTTTCTTTCCAGCTAGACTGTCAGCTCCATAAGGGCAGTTTCCTTGGTGTACATTTTTCATTACTGCGCCCCCAGTGCCTAGCAGCATGTTACCTAGCACAGTGGCAGGTATTTGATACAGTTAAATAAATCAGTAATGTTTCAAGTGTGCTGTATGGAGAAAAGGAAAACTGTGTATATGAAGCTCTAGTAAAATGCCAGGCATGTAGAGGGTGATGGAAAAGTTACAGAGTTGATCATTATTAATTACTCTCCAAAGGAAGTATGGTGGAACAAAAAATAGTCGAGGCAGCTGATGGAGAATTGGAAATGGAGAGGGGTCATTTAGGTTGTCAGCTGGGGCCGCCTTGGCCACCGTGGTTGTAGATGTGGCCAAGTGTAAACATCCCACACAAGTACTGAGTTCCTATTCCTCTGTGTCCCCTCTGCAGCCGGAGCTCTCCAACACGGCTGTCCTGCACCAGATGCGGCGGGACCAGGTCACAGACACGTGCCGCGCCAACAGCGCCATGAGCCGCAAGCGGCGGGTGCTGACCCCCAACGACCTGAAGCACCTGGTGGTGGATGAGGACCACGAGCTCATCTACTGCTACGTGCCCAAGGTGGCGTGTACCAACTGGAAGCGGCTCATGATGGTCCTGACCGGGCGGGGGAAGTACAGCGACCCCATGGAGATCCCGGCCAACGAGGCGCACGTCTCGGCCAACCTGAAGACCCTGAACCAGTACAGCATCCCCGAAATCAACCACCGCTTGAAAAGCTACCTGAAGTTCCTGTTCGTCCGGGAGCCCTTCGAGAGGCTGGTGTCCGCCTACCGGAACAAGTTCACGCAGAAGTACAACACCTCCTTCCACAAGCGCTACGGCACCAAGATCATCAAGCGGCAGCGCAAGAACGCCACGCAGGAGGCGCTGCGCAGGGGCGACGACGTCAAGTTCGAGGAGTTCGTGGCGTACCTCATCGACCCGCACACCCAGCGCGAGGAGCCCTTCAATGAGCACTGGCAGACCGTCTACTCCCTCTGCCACCCGTGCCACATCCACTACGACCTCGTGGGCAAGTACGAGACGCTGGAGGAGGATTCCAACTACGTCCTGCAGCTGGCGGGAGTGGGCAGCTACCTGAAGTTCCCCAGCTACGCCAAGTCCACCAGAACTACTGACGAAATGACCACAGAGTTCTTCCAGAACATCAGCTCAGAGCACCAGACGCAGCTGTACGAAGTCTACAAACTCGATTTTTTAATGTTCAATTACTCAGTGCCAAGCTACCTGAAATTGGAATAAAGGGCGGGGGTGGGGAGAGGGAGAGAATCCTGCTTTTTAATTTAAGATTTTTATTTGTCAAAAGAATTATATGGATATTGGGTTATTTTGTAAATTAATATTTCTTTGGGGGTGATGCTGCGAGCAGCATAGTAAGAATTATTTAAAATCCTTAGTAGGGAAGGACGGCTGTCTTTGCAGGGGAATAGGATGGGTGTCCTTGTTTTTAGACGTGAATACTGCAACACTGTCTCAGAGGTTTCTTTGCATTCTGGTGAAGTCCAGGAATCGCGCATCCCATAAATTCTAATTAATGTTATTTATAGTTATTTAAACATGGTCTCTGTACAGATTTCTTTCTGTGGCAGCAAGATTCTAATGTCTTTGGAGAAGAAATTTACGTTTC